GTCAATTTCCTCCGCCCCGATTCTTAATCCCGACCATCATGTCCCATCTCCCTCCCATCTCCCTCCCTCCCTTTCCTTCCCCACCCCCAACAAAACCCCAATCCCCCCACACAAAAAAAGATCCCCCCCAGCCGTCAAACCCCACCCCACCCCCTTCACCACTCCCAAGTCAGGTAAAGTACGCCAAAGCGAGCCTCCGCGCAACGCCCAAACCAATGCCAGCTAGCTGAATGAATGAATGAATAAAAGGGTGCCGAACTAAGACACCGAGAGCCTTTCAATGGACAAGACCAGGGTTGTACGTGTGACGAGGGCAGGATGGGCAGGTTTGGGACAGGGGCCGTGAGAGGTGGTGTAGCGAGGGAGGGTTGGGGGAGTTGAGGGAACATTGGCGGGATGGAGGGAGGGGTCAAGAGGGTACTTGAGGATGAGGAAGGTACTTGATTTAAGTGATGATAAACGGCTGCATTTTTTTTCTGCTATCCAATGTAAGATTTGGCGTACTGGTACATGCTCATATCATCCCACTCCTGATATGTATCCGTACACAGAATACAAGTGAAAACAAACAGAAGCATGCTAGCACCGCTATACTCGACTTCTCCTTGTCATCCCTCGTAATACTTCTTGAACCGGTCCCTCTCCTCCCACTTCAATTCCTTCACCACGCTCCAACAAGTCAACAACAAGCTCGGAAACTTTCTCGACCAAAAGCCCAGGTACCCCGCAGGTAACGGTCCCACCCTCTCTTTGACAGCGTCTGGCATGTCTTCGTAGTGGTTCTTCTTGTTCCGCAGCGCTCGTAACAGATCAAGCAAACTTTCCCCTTTGTACTTGCGCTGTTTGCCCAAAGTATCTTTGAAGGGCTGAGACAGTGCGCGCAGGAAATCGCCGCCGTGATCTTTAGTGATGAGAGGAGCGTAGCTTTCGAGGTATGCGAGAGGCTCGGAGGGATCGTCTTCCCGCTCGTTGTACTTCTCAGACTCGAAGGCATCGCTGACATGGCAGAGAAACTCCAGACGATCTTCGGCACCCCAGAAGAAGGGATGCGTCAGGATGGTCGCGGCGTCAGGTCTTTCCTTTGGATTGTGACTCAACATCTGACCAACGAGCACTTTCGCTTCCCATTGATAGTCTCCTAAAATCGTCAAAGCATCCAAATTGTACAACCCTTTTACGATATTGGCTTCACGCATGAATTTGCCGTCTTTGTCGAAAGGATGGGAGCCTTGCGTGAGGCAGTAATAAAAGACACAACCGAGGGAGAAGATGTCAATCGCGCGGGTTGCACGGCGGTTGGTTTGCGGGTCGACAACGAGCGGTTCGGAAGTGTTGGTCAGGTCTGCCGTCGCGGGATAGAGGGCGGAATTCGTAGACTTCAGCAGAGGGTCGTCATCGACAAGCAGCTCGGGGGCACGCCAGCCAGAAGTACCGGCGGCGAAGGCAGTGGTCGCACGGAACGAATTCTGGTCGCCTTCGAGCTTCTTGCAAAGTCCAAAGTCGGAGATGAGTAGGCGCGGTGGTTGGGTCGTAGACGGATTGGCAATGGTGACTTTGGGGGCGGAGACAAGGATGTTGTGAGGTTTGATGTCTCGATGAACGATCTTGAGGGTGTGAAGATAGTGTATTCCGGAGGTGATTTGCTTCAGTATATTGGGCGTGTTGAGTCCGCCCGAGGGGACCAACGCTGGAAAATCTCTCGGTCTCTCGATCACATCCAGCAGTGAGGCAGGACAAAGCTCGAGAGCGATGTAGAGGAAACTACCAGCAGTCTCCTTGTCGAAGTATCGTATGACATTGGGATGATCGTCATGCTGCTGAAGGAGACTAACCTCATGAGAGGCGACATCATAGAACTCCTTGAGCATACGCTTCACGGCGACCTCTCTACCGCCAAATGAGCCCTTGAACACCATTGTTCCGTGACCGCCATGCCCCAAGGTAGCATCCAAATTGACACTCAAATGTCCGATGTTGATGATTGGTCCAGTCACCTCAGTCGTATCCGTCACAGCTGGCGGAGAGGATTTGATGGCTTCCGTCTGTAGTGCTTTGGCTGACGGTGCTCGCGAGACTTGTTTCATGGTCTCCTCTGCTTCATCTTTGGATTCCTGCTTGCTGTCACCTTTGTTCTTCTTCCTATGCTTGACTCCGCCTCGTCTTCCACGGCGAACCTTCTTCTTGACTGTCTGTGAGGATCCTATTTCTTCGGATTCGTCGGATTCGTCAGGACCAGGAGATGGATCCCGTATTCTAATACCATTCTCCGCCTCGTTATGGCCACGATCTTGCAGGGAATTATGCCGGCTGCGCGACAATTCCGGTGGCGGCTCCAGCAGCAATGGGTTGGCTTCCGCAACGTCTCCCTCTGGCTTAATCGCAATTTCTTTGATTTTATCATTCTCGGGGGGTGGAAGGTCCTCTGGCGCGTATGGCGTTGCTGTGACGGGAGATGATGGTACAGAAGCAAATTGCGGCTGCACAGATGGAATAGTCTGCTCCAACTCCAAACGCCTTCTGATGTGCCTGAAGATTGGCCTCCAGTTGATGTAAAAGAATGTACCCACAGCAAAAATGAAACATAGAACAAATATGTCAGAAAAGTTGTCCACAGCAGTCCCAATGATTCTACTGCTACCTATGATTGGCAGTGAGGGCGACAATGACGATTCTTGGTAGACTTCGACGGGGGAGTCATTGGCCGCTGGGGTTTCCGGCCCAGAAATAGTCAGACCACTACCTTGTCTTGTTTGCAGCTCAGAAAGTGCATGTACGCCGACGAAGCCTTCCTGACGCTGGGCGAGGGTCAAAGAGTGCGTTGAAGTGGTCATCTCCATCCAATCTCTGTCGTAGCATTGGGCCGCTTTTGCTTTGCCAGTTACTAACGGATAGGTATTCTCGGACATAGCGAACCACCCTCCAGCTTCAGTGTGATTGACGAATATACGATTCTTTGCGCTAAAAGTATCATAGATCTCATTGTTGAGAGGACCTACAGGCTGGGGCAATACTATGAGTTGCGGATCCTGGTCATCGACATGCAACGGACGGGCTACATCGAAGACTCTAACGACCGGAGACGAAAGCTTCTGAGTATAGGACTTCTGCCTGTCCATCATCTGGCTGTAGTCCCAACCGAAGATGCTTCCGTCGTGTAATGGATAGACGTACTTATTGTCCATGGTGCTAGAGTACTGGCTATGCAAGTCCCCGTCTCGAGTATTGGGTCCCCACTCTGAATATCTTAAGATACAGATCGGTTCTGTAGTACCTCGATTTTGGATTGTGATTGTGTATTCGGTCCGGCCCAGGACAAAGGAGCCTCTGGTGGCGCACTCTTCATCATCAAGCACATCAAGGCCGCCAGGCTTTGGGCATCTTGGCTCTTTGCTCAGGGATCCTCCGGCTCCAAATACTTTGCTGATGGTGCCTGTCGTTGCATCCACAGTATAAAGTTTGGTCTTCTTCTCCCCATTGTAGACCACGGCAGGGTCTACGCTCTCATACGGTGACATGTCAGCCACCAACTGCTTCACCGTCAGGTGCAACTTTTGTAAGCCGCCAAGGCCGCGTTGGTTGTAGATGTAGATATCTCCGTCCCTGCTGGGCTCCACAATCCAAAGAAAGTCGTACTCCGGCTTCGATCCATCAAGCAATGAATTGTTCGGGACATGGTATGTCGTCTCGACCATCGGCCTATCCACCTCCAGCTTCCATCTCGGTGCTCCTGTCTTCCTGTCTCTTGCGTGTATCGATCCGTCTACGGTGGCAAGTAGAACGAAGTCCTCCACCTCCCAGTCCTGCAACGAGCGCGCATTAAGCGACGCAGAAAGCCCGGCGGATTTTCCGGAGCCTCGAGCAGGTTGGGCAGCTCGCACGGCACGGTCTTCACCGGCCAGAGCTAGAGGGTTTGTAGCGACGGCGCTCGCTTTTGGTTGGTTCAGCGTTGTGTCTTTCAGATGTTTGTAATTTGTAGTTTCCGATGTGCTTTCATCCTGAAAGCCAGATGATCCAGCGTGTGTGTGGTGGTCAATGGCTGGGTGCTCGTGTGGTGATTTGCGATTTTGTTGCCGAGGCGGCAGCTGTGAAGCCACCAAGAAGGGCAGTATCAGCAAAGATACTGTCAATGCTGAGACCACCACCGTCCTGGCAGTACCCGGACGCCGACGCATGATGGCGGGGATGAACGCCAGTCAGATAGGTCAACAGGCGGACTCGATAATTCTGATGTAAGAAGCTGGAAGACTGCATTGGCCTAGCCTGATGGACAGGCTAGACATTGTTGGACAGAAGCTGATTCTACATGAATGGTTTAATAAATGATAATAAATTGAAGAAGGAGAAGGAGAAGAAGAAGAAGAAGAAGAAGAAGCAATGATGTAGGTAAATGGGAGAATGTTTGAAGAATGTAAGGGCTGTCAGACGAAGGCGTAGCAAAATAATCGCAAAGTTGCTCAGCCGTGACTTGTTGTTGCAACCTTTGCCCGATGGAATCTAGTATTCGTAGCAGGTTTGGCCGTCCAATCAGAAAAGACTGCGTCGTAAGCCGCCTCGGCCCGTCATATAGCCGCATATATATTCCAGGAACGACGAGAAACATAATGTACTTTAAAGTACCGTACCGTATGTATAAAGTACCTAGAGATATTTAATGCGCGCTAAAAAGAAGTGACTTCCAACCCATCGTTTCCATTATTGTTTCATCAGTCTTTCCAACATCAAAAAGTACCTACCTACTTGAACTGGGGTGGCAAGACATTCATGGGAAAAAAGGTCAAAGCGGCATTTGCAGATACTAGCGGGCGGAGCTGAATATTTTCATCATTCATGCCATGCCTCTTTGACGCCTGCAGCAGCCGGATGAGAAAAGAAAAAAAGAGGCAAAGCTTCAACCAGGTCAATGATCATTGAGGACGAAACTCTATTTGATTATCTGGCAGCGCTCAAACTCCGCTCCATGCAGATCACTGGATATCATAGACTTCTCCTCCTATCATCCTTTACATCCTCTCTCTTTTCCTTGGTGCGCTTCGAATGATGTTGTCAACCCGTAACAGAAGCTGTGCAAATGTCAGTCACACCACCACCGTTGCACCTTGAGGATCGTCTTACCTCTGCTGCTTCGCTTGCAGAAGATACCACAGCCCGCTTCAACTTGTAGCTCTCGATCACTCCCAGCTCCCTCATGTCTGCAATGCCACCCCCAGCTGTTAAAAGGTCCAATCCCGAACTCGTCAGCCCTTTGTAGATCGCCGTCTTCAGCCTCGCAACCAGATCGCTCGAGTCAAATCCGGCGTTGTCCGCGAGGATGGTGGGAAGCTGCCGCAGTGCCGTAGCAAAAGAGTCCACCGCGATCGCCTTTTTGCCTGTAACATTCGGTGCCGCCTGCTCAACCGCCTTAGCCATGACCATCTCCGCGCATCCGCCACCAAGCGTAGTCTTGGGTTCTCGCACTGTCTGGGATAGCACAGCCAAGGCGTCGTGCAATGATCGTTCTGCCTCATCCAGTAACTGCTCCGTCGCTCCCCGGAGTACTATGGTACAAGCTTGTCCCGCAGCAACACCGGAAAACTTGATTAGTGTATCTTCTCCAATGATAACTTCTTCAATAAGGTCACAATGGCCCAGCTTCACGCTCTCCGGATGGTCGAAGGTTGAGGCAATCTCTCCTCCTGTCACCAACGCTAACCGTTCAATACCGTCAAAATCTGCATGTTCGATTGATACGATTCCAGCGTCGGAGAAAAGCTGCTCCGGCCAATTGTATATGAGCTGCCGATTGACGAAACAGTTGATGCCATGACTCTTGATCTTCTCCACCTTCGCCCTCATCTTCTCCCTCTCAGCCTTTTCAAGTTCGGCTAGCTTTCCTGTCGACTCGACCTTGACTCTTGCCCCGAAGATCTTGATCTTGTCCGTATCCATGGCAGTATTGGCAACCAAGATTTTGGCATTCTCAAGTCGCTTGGGCTGGTTGACTCCAATCTGCTTGTCCAGGATGAAACCCTCATCCAGATACGAGTCATTCAGTTTCCCGCCCGCCTTTTTTATAATTTGGATATGACTGAGATCCGTTGATCCCCTCATTCGCAAGACAGCATCACACGCAAGCTCTGCGAAATGATTTCGATCCTGACTTAGCACCTTCGAGCTGAGCGTTGTCCGTGCTATTGCCATAAGATCATTGCGGAAAGCTTCCTTATCTTTGCTGTGGTCCACGGCCGTGGCTTCCAGGGCCGCCAGAGCCACATTACTTGCTATCCGATACCCTTCAATAATTGTTTGCGGATGTATCTTTTTCTCCACCAGCTTCTCAGCCTCGCGTAGTAATTCTGCCGCCAACACTGTCACAGACGTAGTTCCATCCCCAACTTCATCATCTTGCACCTTGGATATGTTGACCAGCACTTTCGCTGCGGCGTTGTCTAACGCTATTGACTTCAGAATTGTGGCACCGTCGTTTGTGACCATTATTTCGCCGGTTGAACTGGTCCAAGTCAGCATGGTAGCCTTAGGACAGAGGCTGGGGCGCAGGAACGCTGATTGTAATATTTTATCCATCCCCTTGGGTCCCAGTGTGCTCTTGACCAAATCGCCCACGGCGATCGCGCCGACAAACGCCGAGAGACGCGCATTCTCGCCCTTCTCTTCCGTGACCTCGTCGCCGAAAATCTGTGTAGGATTAAAGGCGGTCTAGGGAAGATTAGTTCACGCGCGACATGCATCTGAGGATCACGCACCATGATCAGAACGGCTGAGTGGTAGTAATACGGAAATTCCTTTGGAGGAAGGTGTTCTGGAATTTTGGTCAGTCGCCAAAATCCCAAATCCCAAATTCTCAGATTCCCGGATCCTCGGGAGACGCTCAGACGCGTTTCTCCCGGTATTTTTGGCAAATTTCCGGTATTTAAAGTCAGCGCTACCCTAAAACCATAGATAAATTACTCTAGCGAGGGTACCAATGGCACCGCGGCATCATCAGCAAGCATAAGACCAACACCACTTGATCTCTTCCCCTTATTACTCCACAGTCTTTTCTCCGCAGAACGTCTCCTTGAAGTCGGTCATTGTCTAATCATTGTTGTGTAAATAGTATCATTATCCAACAGGTTCAACATTTGAGTTCAATATTTGATCATTCACCTGCATCATTCCCTTGCAGAAGATTCCCAGCCTGAGGTCCAAGGTGTGCTGCACATTTGCCCGGGCCACCTGCTCACGCCTCAAGAGGATTTCACATCCTTTTTCAGCTCAACATATATAGAGCCAGGCGGTGCTTCTCGGCCGAATCCATGCTGCGTCTCACCTAACATCCAATTTGCTTTTTATCTCTGTACATATTGTCATATGCTTGTATATATCGTCTGCTCTTTGCTCTGTAAATAATTTTCTTCACACTACCGCACCAACTGCATCCTACAGGATCAATCCACGAATACATCAAGCCCTATCTACGGAGCAACATTTTCGGTACCAGCGCAATGGCTACCGTCAATATTGCCCTTCAGAATCAGACGAGCTCCAGCACCGTGTACGCCTACATCACTGGCCAAGCGCTCGACAATAATAACGCTCTATTCCTACTCCAATCCGATGGCAAGACTTACTACTATCCAACATCGCCTTCGTCTGTCGGCTCGGCCCTTGGTCAGGATTGCGCCATCCCTCGTACGTATTTTCGGAGCCCATATTTTCCCTGTTGGAGCAAAACTTGAGTCTTGAGACATATCTCGGGAGTCTTTACCCTCGAAACATGTTCCATGGCTCTATATTCCTCCTCGCATGGGCAATACTGACAGCGAAATTGTAATTTAGTGGGCGCACCTGGTAATACCACGACCGTCACTGTTCCCCACCTTGCTGGAAGCCGTATCTGGTTCTCTGTCGACGGGACTTTAACTTTCCTCCTCAACCCCGGCCCTGCACTCGTCGAGCCGTCGGTTACTAATCCCTCAGACCCGAATACAAATTTATCCTGGGACTTCTGCGAATTCACTTTCAATGCGGCCGAGCTCTTCGTCAACATCTCCTACGTTGACTTTGTCTGCCTACCCATCTCCTTGACCTTGACCAACACCTCCCACGCAACGCAGTATGTCTCCGGCATGGCGTCCAGTGGACTCGATACCGTCTGCCAGGAACTAACAGCTCAGACCGCCTCTGACGGCGCAGGTTGGTCCTCGCTCATCGTGCGCGATCCCTCCGGAGGCAACCTACGCGCTCTAAGCCCCAACAACGGCATCACTCTGAACTCCTCTCTCTTCAACGGCTACTACCAGAACTATGTCAACCAAGTCTGGTCCCAGTACACGTCCCAGCAGCTCTCCATCGACACTCAAGCCTCCTGGGGCACTGTATCCGGCCACGTCGACTCTTCCTCCCTCCTCGACTTCGGCAACGGTCTAACCTTCACCAAGCCCTCCGCCGCCGACATCTTCAGCTGCTCCACCGGTCCCTTCGCCGTCGGCTCCAACATCGAACTCGGCGCCCTCATCGCCCGCCTCAGCGCCGCTTTCAACCGCTCCACTCTGCTCATCGACCCCGTCGAGCCCACAGCTTCGCCGAGCCAGTACTATCAGAACGCGACCACGAACCACTACGCGCGCATCGTGCATGCGGCGAACTTGGACGGCATCGGCTATGCGTTCCCCTACGACGACGTGACGCCGACCAATGGTGTGAACCAGTCGGGGGCGGTGCAAGATCCGAGTCCGCAATTGTTGACGGTGGCTGTGGGAGGCGGCAATGCGTCTAGCGGGCTGACTACGCAGACGTAGCAGACTGATCCAGTAGGGCTATTGGCATGGGTGATGGGTCTTGATCTAAGACGTGTTGGATAGAAGAACGTTGAACGTCCTTTGGGTTGGATTGCGCTGCCTCGATCCCTCGTTTGTGCAATTGTTCTTGCAATTCTGTATTTCCTTCTACTTTCTATGTCGTTGGGCACATGATCTTGTTTAGCATTTACTTTGCCATTAGCTGTACATACGTCTCAGTCTCTTTGCCAACAATCATTTCTTCCGATCACAGAGTACGAAATAAACAGCCCTCCGAGCTAACTAGGCACGTATTACATTTCATTTTTGAACAAGCAAAGCAAAATGCAAAATGGGTATCATGAATCAGTACAAGCAGGTACTCTAGCGCCAGACAAGCCAAGCCACGCCAATCTAATTCCGCATTGACAATCCATGAATCTAACAACAGTCGAGCATCTTGGTCTCTCCTGTACTATCTTTCTGTTCCCGTAACGACTCGTTATCGACAGCTTCTGAAAGCGCATTGAGAGCTTCATCGATGGGACATGGGTCCTGCGTCGTGTACATAGCTAGAGACATGACGGGCAGACGCCGTAGGGTTCGCCCACTGAAGTTCTGCGGGCCGTTTCACATTAACATTCTGGGCTGGCTGCTGGATGCCAGTCTATCTTACCGTACTCTTCGCTGCGACCTTCCACAATGTTCGAGGCAGAGACTCTTCGTCGGCGGGGAAATGCAGCATCATGAGGTGGTGAGGCGGTAGATCTCTGTCGTCGACGACATGGAAATCAATTTGAGACTTAGGAGCCTTGGTTGAGTGGTGCGGAGGTGGCGGGCTGCTGTTGGGTTGTCAGCATGTTGAAGACATTAGGACCCGAATATGAGACCTAAGCGGAGTGTAGTATCTATCCGGAGAAGACGAAGAGGATGAGGAAGGTATGAGGGAGGCCCACCCGCTCGCGAGCTCGTCCTCATCTCCATCCAGCAGCATTCCTTGTGATGGTTGCTCGAGGGTAGCAGCTTCTAGGGGCTGACGGATTGGAGCTATGATTCCGCATTGACCAAGTTCAAGATAGCAGGAACGCAGAATCTCGTATCTAGCTCTTGGACCAGGATTTGAAATCTGTTGTTTCATGTCGATGCGGTCAATAAATGCCGGATCCTAACCAATGATTGATATGTATATCCAATGAGCGGCGTAGTGATTCGAATTACGCACCACAGCCTCGATCAAGTTGCTCGTGCAAAAGAGTAAGACGTTAGGTCTGCACCGTAGCCGATCAAGCGCGATCAGCAATGCATTGACAGCCTGGAATGTCATCAGCTTCCAGTCGCTACAAGTATATAAATCGTCTTGGTGCATACTCTCAAGGAGTCTTGCGGCTCGTTAGAGCTGCCAGGGTACTGACGTTTGCCGGCTAGGCTTTCTATCTCATCAATAAAGACGCAAATCAAAGCGTTTTCGTCCTCATCGAGCATCGACTCAATCATGGCGAAGAGTTTGTTGATGACTTTCCCACTCTCACCAAAGTCTTGGCTGAACATTGAATGAGCGTCAAATTCAACGAGCTTGCAGTGTGGGAAAGTGTTGCGCAAACGGATGGATAATTGCTGGGCTAAGGCTCGGCAGAGGCTTGTCTTTCCAGCACCTGGCGGTCCATAAAGTAGGACGGCTCTGCTCCAACAGGGCAATGGTTGGCGACGTTGACGAGCGGAAAAGGACACTGAGGCATGGTAGCTGTGGTCCCTTTAAGAGACAAAGCGAAAACACTGACTCATGCGGATGATGAATTTGAGGAGTCGAGATTGAATGAAATCTTCGAAAATCAACCTACCGGAATCAGGCACAAGTCCATAAGATGCTGCGATGCTGCAGGGTTGCAGAGCCTTACGAATCCCAAAGACCATGGAAATTCCTATTCGGAAGACTCGTGATCGTGGCTTGCGGCCCCTGAATGTCATCATTGGCGTTTTGAGCGATCCGGGTAAGTGTAGCCTCGGAAGGCTCGATTTGCTCTTCGTCGCCGTGGAGCTCGAAGACGTCAACGGTGATATCTACATGTGGAAGACGAATACAGGTGTTTGACTCGACATCTGTACTAGAAGTGAGGTCTGCAACAGTGATGAAATGGATGCCGGGAGGGTCGAGGAACCCATCTATCCAAGCATTGTTAGCATCATGGAAGAATAATTGGTAGTCATCTTACCGAGACATGGAAAGGTCTGCTTTAATTTGACTGTGGCATACTGGTTTCTGAGCCATCTTTCAACTCGATCTGCCAGCTTGATGTGACAGCATTACTATTGAATGCCATGGAAAGACGAAAGGTGCTGGAATTTTGTCTTACTGTTGGAGGCAAGGACTCCGGTTGTTTGGTACAGCACTCGACATGTAGCGTAGGCTTGCCCTGGGGATACAAAGCTTTCGCTGGAGATGTCGCAGTGCCGACCATGCTCGGCTCCGTATTGCTGCAAGTTAACACACGTCTCCTACTTTCATCTGAGAGCCTTGAGGGTGAAAGTCAAAGAAAGTCCTCATGTTTATAGGTTCGGGGAAGATGAGGGAATGGCCAAAAGATGCGGGCTGTGGCATTGAGTTCTTTTGGAGAAATTTACAGTACTCAAGTATCCTTAGCTAGTGTGCGTTTTCTTGGCAAGGGTCCAGACAACTAATCCAGCTGCTTGCATGTTGTCTCAAAACCTGCAGCTTGATAAGAAATACATTCTAACTACCGCAATGCTTCCCACGCCGACATAACTCCCTGGTGCCTGATACTTACACAACCATGGCGTCGGCTTGGACTATGGCGGACCGCGATGGCTACCTGGACCAGAGCCAAAATCATAATCAAAGAGACCTCTACACCCAACTCGCCATCTCCGTTGCTCTCGGGTTCTTCGCCTTTCTCGCCTTTTGTTTCTTGAGACCAAGATGGACATCTCTCTATGCTGCGCGCAAGAAGCAGAAGAATGCAGCCTCCACACTCCCAGAGCTCCCAGACACCTTCTTTGGATGGGTCCCAGCTCTTTATCGAATTACCGAAGATCAAGTACTTGCTTCGGCCGGTCTTGATGCTTTCGTAGTAAGTAGTCTGAAAGGAATGAAGAGGCTCGATGTCTAAATGAATCGCAGTTTCTTCACTTCTTCAAGATGGCCACCAAGTATATAACAATCACCCTCTTCTTCTCACTCGTCGTCCTATTACCAATACATGTACACGACACTGGCGACTATGGCCTGCCTGAATCAGGGAATCTTGGAAATCACACAGCCAACAGGACCATTACCTTCGGGGCCTATGGCAATGTGTCTCCATTGCTGGAGATAGCAGGATCTGGGAAGGCTACGAAGGGCGAGGATAAGCCGACTGACTTGATGCTCTGGATCTACGTGGTCTTCGTATATCTTTTTTCTGCCCTTGCCCTATATCTCATTACCACAGAGACCAAAAAAGTCATTCGCATCCGCCAGGACTACCTTGGCAGCCAATCCACGGTCACAGATAGGACCATCAGGCTCTCTGGTATACCCGAAGAACTACGCTCGGAGGAGATGATCAAGGAAGCGATTGAAAATCTCCAAATTGGTAAAGTGGAAAGCGTCTTATTATGCAAGGACTGGAAAGAGCTGGACGATCTTGTCACGCGCAGAATGAGCATCTTGCGGAAGCTCGAAGAGGCATGGACTGTACATTCGGGACGACCAAAACATGGGGGCAACAGGGCCCTACTCCAAGCCTCTGGAGGAAACACAGACCACGTCGATGAGTCTCATCATCTTCTCGATGGTGACAATGACGACCAGCCTCACGTGGATACGGCTACATCAGATCGTCCGAAGACACGGATATGGCACGGATTCCTGGGTCTACAAAGTCGACGTATCGATGCTATTGATTACTATGAGGAGAAGCTCCATAAGCTAGACGAGAAAATCCAGTCATCTCGCAAGAAGGTCTACAAACCCACTCCACTGGCCTTTGTCACACTAGACTCGACTGCTGCAGCAGTAAGTAATGTGGTCCGAAGAAGTCCCAGCAGTGCTAACAATGCGTAGCAAATGGCTGTACAAGCTACGATGGATCCCGAGCCAATGAAATTGCTTGCTAGAGTTGCCCCAGCACCATCGGACGTGGTATGGCATAACACGTATCTTTCAAGATCCAGTAGGATGCTCAGGGCATGGTCTATCACCTTGGTGATTGCTATCCTCACAGTCTTCTGGTCTTTACTTTTGGTCCCTCTTGCTGGACTGCTAAGCCTCGAAAACATTGGCAAGGTCTGGCCACAGCTCGCGGATGCCCTCTCCAGCCATGACATTAGCAGATCCTTGGTCCAACAAGGTCTTCCTACACTACTTATCTCCCTCCTAAGTGTGGCTGTACCGTATCTTTACTACTGTATGATCTCATCTGCCCAGGTCATTCGAATTGAAGCTGATGACATGCAGGGCTGTCAACGCTACAAGGCATGATGTCGCAAGGTGACGTCGAAATGTCGCTGATATCCAAAAACTTCTTTTTCACCTTTTTCAACCTTTTCGTCGTCTTCACCATCTTTGGGACGGCGTCAAATGCTCAGGCATACTTCAGCCGCATCGGAGATTCTCTCAGAGACACCACAAGCATCGCGTTTATCCTGGCCACTTCCTTGAAGAACCTCGTCCTGTTTTACATCAATCTGATCATCCTTCAAGGGCTTGGGCTGTTCCCCTTCCGATTGCTCGAGTTTGGCAGTGTCGCAATGTATCCGATCTTTTTGATAGGTGCTAAAACCCCTCGAGGTATGAGCCCTAGTTGGATATCAACCAAGCTCTCCGGCAGTCGCTGATCGAGGATACAGATTACGCAGAATTGGTCCAGCCGCCTGTCTTTAGCTATGGCTTCTATCTTCCCCAGACCATACTCATATTCATCATTTGCATCGTGTACAGCGTCCTGCCCGGCTCCTGGCTGGTCCAATTATTTGGCCTGCTTTATTTCATCATCGGAACTTTCATCTACAAATACCAGCTCCTCTACGCGATGGATCACCGTCAGCACTCGACCGGTCGAGCATGGTCTATCATTTGCAATCGCATCGTACTGGGCCTTGTCGTCTTTCAGCTTGCGATGACTGGTATTCTGGGTTTAAGTCTGGCAGTGTACCGCGCCATCTTGATCGTCCCTCTGCTCGCATTCACAATTTGGTTCATGGTCTTCTACCAACGCACCTATGACCCATTGATGAAATTTATCGCTATCCGCAGTCTCACTCATGACCCGCCTTTCGGAGCGTTGGCCCACGGCGAGTCAAGGTACGAGAGTGAGACCTCGAGGGGTCGCGATGTCGATGAGGACCGGGAGACAGGCCTGCGCTACATCAATCCTAGCTTGGTCACCCCCTTAGAGGATGTCTGGCTTGCAAAGAAGCCGACGAATGGTTCGTCTCGGCATGGTAATCATGGTGCCGAAGAGGATGTGTGATTCCTTCGAAAGAGGCTGGGTTGATTCCATGATTAATGCTATGCATAGCGAACGTGTTATTCTTCATGGCGTTTGGACTACTGCATTAATTGGGAGTTTTGTTTTAGGAGAGCTTTATACCCGTCCGCATGGGCCATGCTGATCTTTCGAGGCACATCTTCAAGTGATCGTTCCTTCTTGTTTCGACCGGAAAAGAGGCGCTTGCGTCTAGTGTGCTAACTCGTTCAGAGGTCTGCATCCACTGACAAGCAGCTTATCCTAGGTGTAGACCAACCACATTCTTTACCAGCACGGTCTTTCCGGCGTGCAACAGCTTTAACTACGTCTTCGCAGATCCTCCTCTCATGCGGGGTCGCCGGCCTTGACCCTGAACAAGCAGATTGTTTGGACTCCACTTCAGCCGCTCCACTGGTCACTATCCTAGAAAACGCATCTGTTCATATCCTCTACGTCGGACCTTCCTCTGCACCTGAAGTTACCCGATTGATTGGAGACTGTCCGACTCGCTTCGGAATGGGTCCCTTGGAGCTGGACTCTGCTACGAAGCCTGGAGCTCTTGCTGCCTCAAATGACGTCAATGCACCTCTCAGACCTAAAGCCTCTCCTCGTTCGACGCCCTCCAATTCCGTCCGCAGCAGCTTTTCATTCCAGGTTGCATCCGAGCAATCAGAGTCAGCCATACCGTCAAGTGAAGAGGGGAGCCCCATTAGAGGCCGCACGCTCGTTCGGGTCCCTGCGCATGAACGCCTTGAGCCTCGAGCCATGACTCGACTTCAAGCAGGCACAAATTTTGATGATCTTGACATTACAATGCGTCAGCGATTTCTGAGCCGAGATTTTTCCGAGGAACCCGAAGCCATCGACGGCTGTTACATGGAGCCCTTACCATTTGAGAGGTTCCGTTTATCTCTCTCGGAAGAGCTAAACAAAGCCGCAACCTTCAGTAGCTCAATCGACTTGACCAACTTCGGAGGTCATCGCGATACATTCGCTGTACTTGGTCTTCGCCGCAAGCAAAACCGAGGGCCTGAGCTCCCGGCGACCTTCTTTCAGCGACTCTTGAACTACATTCACTTCGAAGAATACCTGGCTGTTCGCCTTTCATGCCGCTGCTGGTCAGCCGGTATCACTCTCGCTCGTCCTGTCGTCATGCCGTCTGTCTACAAACTTCCTGCCGAAACTCTTGAGAGAGTCTACGTCTACCTCTCTCCTGTGGATCTGAATGCCGCTAGGCACACATGTAGAGCTTGGATGATCGGCAGTCTGGAAGAGAGGCTGCTAACAAGGGTGCTGAAGGAGGGTGGCTGGTGGAGGGCCGGAAAGGCTGACATGAATGTGCGTGAAGGGTTGAACGGGCATAGAACTGCCGACAGCATCAATGAGGAATGGATCTTAAGCAAGCGGTTGGCTACCGAGTGCTCTCTACGACCAGGTTGGACCGGCAACGGGCTCTCGGGAAATCTGTGGTCATCGTCGGGCAGACAATCTAATCATACTGGTGTTGCCCTCACATCCGAGACTGACTTTTCTGAACTGAGCACCGGCTATAACCCTTCTCGTATAGGAAACTGTCAACACGGATCAGCGGTTCACTTTACAGTCAGCGTCTGCTGCAAATTTCTTCTGGTTACTGAAGGCTGCCTGATCTACATCTACTCTCTGCGTGATAATACCTCGGGCCCACACCCTCATGGAGGCCATCTTTCACCTGTGACCACCGTCCTCTGCCCTCACCGCGTTCTGGCTGTAAGCATGGACACGTCCGCTCAGCGCTTTGCCGTCGCAGCTCTCCTTGAGGGTCGGGTAGGCCTAGTCTGCGACCTCCACGAGAACACCCGGTTGCCATCACGGAAACGATCCAATCCGCAGGTCTCGTCGGCTGTCACGCGTGACTGCAAGACCTCTATCTACAGTTCTGTCTCCTCTGGTGAGCCTGGCGTTACCGAAGCTACTCCACCCAATGAGCACGCTTCCTTTCAAGCAAGTCCCAATGACCGTGCCTTGGCTCGAGCGATTGCAGAAGCAAGTCACCCCGAAGTCCACGGCGCCCGCGACATCCACACGTCTTGGAGAATGGATGACCCTCTTGTTTCGCCTGAGCCTGGACATTCCCGACTCTCTCTTTCCTCCACCACGGGCTACATACCTCTCGAGACCGGTATACGTTCCATCTATCGCAACCTCTGCTCCGCCGAAGACCCGCCTAGAAGCGTAGCAATCTGCCCACAGCGCCGCTGCGTTGCCTTCGGCTGCTCCGCGGGAATTGAACTTCACTGGATTGATGCACTGACGGGGCAGGATCTTAATCGCTGGTTCCCACTCACTGCGCCGAGCGACTGCTTGTACTTCCTTCCGCCCAGGCCGGGCGTGGATTCAACGAAGAAGCTAAGGCTGATCAGCAGTGCTAGTCATCCCGAGGAAAAGGAAGGACTTGGGGCCAGATACTTTCCCGGTACGAGCACTAGTACCGCTAGACATGAGGGTGTGACTTATGACGAAGGGTTGTTTGACCCTAGTAGTTCGGACAATGCCTTCAGGGGTTCCGCAGGGTGCGATCATTATCGCGCTGTGCCCATTAGTGATGGTTGGAATGTCTTGTTTACTGATCCCGTAGAGGGAAACCTGTGTTTGGGCACGGATGCACCGCTTGGATCCGGAGCTACGAAGCTTATCAGGAGGTTCGTCTTCAAGGGACCAAGCGAAATTGGGAAGGCTGTAGTGCCCAGGGTCTACGCAGCTGGTGGTGAGTTGCAGTGGGGTGTCAGAGTTGTGGTTGGGTATGGAGAAGCTATTTGGCTATTTGTTGTGCCACCTGATATTTTCTTTGGTCATCAAGACAAGACAGCTGAAAGGCAAGATGGGCAAGATGCCAACGCAATTGGAGAGCCAATGAGGATCGAAGGCGTCAAGATCGGTAACATGCAGGGGCTCGTTGACCTTGCGGTCGATGCATCCGGTGGAATCCTAACCATCTGGACTTTCGCCGTCAACGGCATGGCATATGTTTGGCAGATTGCCGGCCGGCAACAGTCTGTAGAGAAAAGGATCGTACTCAAAGACGGCGCGGTCACAGCCCTGGAAGACGCAGATGGCGACACCTATATGCTCAACACCTCCAAGGCAGCCGTGCACTTTGATGGCGCCGCACCCTTACGCCCGACGCGTACCGGCGCCACGTGCCTTCACCCTTCCTTGCAATCATCCATCCACAATTTCCTCCACGGCCTCCACGACCGTATTTTCGACCGCGATCGTGACATCGACCATGACGGCGACATCAAAATGCCCGATGCTGACGCTGAGGAAGACGAGGGCTACGCTTCAGGTCACGACGAACTGGCGCAGGCCGGCGGTGCTTTTGCAATCCATGTCCCCCCGCTTTGGGGTAGATGGAGCGAGGAGGATGCGGATTGGGTGCCTGATTATTTGGCGCAGAGGGGAGGGGAGATTGAGGATGAGGGGTTAGGCATCGATGTGTTGGAGTTGACGAGGCTGGAGGTTGAGATCTTGAGTGCATAGAGAATGCACTCGGCGACAGACGGACGTGTAGAGGGTGGAGGTAGAGAGAGAGCAGCGTAGCCTTATTATTACTATTGGATCCAGTGTTCTGGCTCCAGTCCTAAGCTTCCTAACCAATAGTCGAAATTAATCTGTTGCAACAGCGTAGAGAAAGGGTCCCATCGTCAACGTTTCCCCAGCAATCATATAACGATGCAATGGTGTAGAGTCGGTGTTTGAAGCCGGTAGGACACTCGACTTCAGTACAAAGAAAGATTTAGAAGAAAACCAGCTTCATGACAATATTTGAATCTACAGGACAGATATCAACTGGCTGCTAATCATGAGGTCGCCTCGTATATCCAAAGAGGAGGATACAACATATATTCAGACAAAAGAAGCTCTCTGATCAAAGAACGTATGTAGGATATAATAATCATTCTTCATTACCATTATGACCATACCTAGAGGGCGTGAAACAGCTCTGAATACTCTTGATCACCCTTACAAGCTGCAAAGCGTACGTAGCACCTGTTCAGTCCCAGATCCGCAAACTCCTCATCTCTCCTTCCACCCAAAATCTCATAAGAGCAGGAGCGTGGGACCGGCACTACTCCTGCTGCACACGATCAGCCACTGCGCAATGCCCAAGCGCGGAAGAAGACACAAGTGTGGTAAAAGGCAAGTCTCATGTTATGTGGGTGTGAGAGTCTCCAGGGGACCGGCTGCATACACACAGCCTCAGATTTCAACAACAATTTTCTTAATCATAGACGGATATAGAGAAGCACAGAAAAGGGAACGACAACGTACCGTTCGGGTGTATGCTCTGGATTCAGTTTCCGACCATGCAGTATTGGGAACGAGGTACGAGAGGCCGGTCACGGCTAGCTGTGCGTATCAGATGCCTAATGTTTGTGCGAATGTGTTAGCTTCAAGAAAGCGTTGTTGCTGAGCTGATAGGACGGGGGCAGAAGAATGTTGTCAGAGTCTAATTGTAAATAGCATCATCGTTATGCATTTGCAAACGCTCAATGATTATTTCTGACGTGTTTTTCATCATAGAATAAGAGAAGCGGACAATGGGTCAGGGCACCCCTTACCAAATAGTCTACAGCTGCTCGATCCCAGTGACCATCACATCTAGCTGTATATTGTTTTGGTCGGAAAGCATCGAATGAAGAGACCGAGACCTGTGCGCTGAGGTTTAGCGGATTGATGGACTATTTGATGCAGGACAACTTACAAATGACCAAGCTGTTTCTCACTAGCCTCATGTTCTAGCTCTTTCGACTTGACTGCAGCAACATCGAGGACAGACTCTGGGACATTGGCTAGGCGGGCGACGTTCAAGCCGTAGGACCGATGAGCCACGCCTTCGCCAATCTCGTAGAGAAATGTGATCTCCTGGCTAGCATCGCCAGTTTCCGTGAAGCGCATATGTACGTTCTTCAGCTCGCCATTTTCGAACCCCTTGGCGAGTGCGCTGAGATTCTGGTAGTGGGTGATGAAGAGCGTCAAGCTCTTCTTTTCTCTGACCACGTGATCCAGTACAGCTTGGGCAATGGCGACGCCATCGTGTGTCGAGGTTCCGCGACCGAGTTCATCCAAAATGATCAACGACTTTGATGTCGCTTGCTTCAGGATGTCCGACGTTCCGGATAGTTCCACCATGAAGGTAGACTCTCCCGCCATCATGTTATCAAAGGCACCCATGCGGGTGAAGACAGCATCGAGCATGCCAAGCTTAGCGGACTCGGCAGGGACATAAGATCCAATCTGGCCCATGATGGAGATAAGAGCGACTTGGCGAACATAGCTTGACTTGCCTCCCATGTTTGGACCGGTGATGAGCAAGGCTCTCGTGCGATCCGAAGCGAGATCAGTATCGTTGGGCACGTAGGCATCAAGGAGAAGCTGTTCGACCATGGGATGTCTGCCCTGCTCAACAGATATGCACGTCTCGTCCATGTACTCTGGCTTGACGTAGCCTGGTTGACCGGCGATGGCGGCAAGAGACAGTAAGCAGTCAAGCGTGGCAAGAGCCTGAACGCAATCTCGGAATGACTGATACTTGGATGAGATGTCTGCCAATAGTCCGGCAAATGCAATATCGCACGCGGCAGCCAACGCTTCTTTATGCTGATCCCTTTCACGAATGAGACGCACAACTTCCGGTGTGTGGAATCGTGAAACCTTCTTTGTACCGCTGATCTTTGCCCATGAAGCTGGGACGTTTTTCAGTAGTGCATTATCCACCTCGATCAGATACTCTATGCCAGCAACCGTGACATATTCTACCTTCATCTTCTTAACCTTTGCAGCGGCGACGGGTCGATGAGCGTCAAGCTCCTGCTCAACACTTGCTATACCCATCTTGTGCTCCATGATGTCTTCACTTTCCACCTCTTCTCGGAAGAAAGCATACTTGTCGTCTGCCTTAGCGGCTTCTGGGTTGATTTGGTCCAAATATGAAACTACATCCTCCGCGATGGTTGGAAGAGCGGCAATAGCATTGTTGATGATTGATGACTGGAAGCCAGCATCCGAAGGCCTTTTTACTGAGACGAACTCAGTGGCGATGCGTTGCATAGTCTGCAAGACAGTCAATAGCTCCGGGCGAGTACACTGCACAAAATCAGTAAATGGCAAGGACGCTGGAAAAGAATGTACTGACTTTGCCATAGTAGATGCGTATCAAACTCTTCTCCAGATCACTTCTGATCTGAGAAAGAAGGTGTTTGACCTTGTCCGCTCGCACTGTCGGCTGGTCATCATTGAGCTCTTCGACAGCGGCGATGCGTTCTTCCAGCTCAGCCTTCCGAAGCAACGGTCGGCCTACCCATTTGCGTAACAGCCTCTGGCCGAAGCGTGTCTTAGTCCTGTCCAGGGTCCAGAACAGGCTCCCCTTCTCAGTATGGTCTGTCTGGTTCTGGTAAATCTCAAGGCTAGTTAGGCTGGTTCCGTTGAGCAGCATGTGCGATCGAGCACTGAATGACTGGAAATACTTCGTGAGATCGAAAACATGTTCGAGGCCATAGTCCGTCAGATGCGTGATCATCGCAGAGAGACAGATTGTTACACCCTCAGCGAGCTTTAGCACGTTGTCCAAGATCTTGCTTGCTTTCTCATCATCTTCCGCAGTTGAGGCTTTCATTTTCTCGGCGTAAAAGTTTGAAACGTGACTGTAAGCTTGCGCTGCCATAGTCTTCGGCTTGTCGACTCTCTCCAATCGCACTCTTTCCCCGAAGACGTTGGTCTTACTTCCCGACAGATGCTGTACCAATTTGTCGGTTGCTTTTGAAAGATCGCCGACAATCAAGATCTCACAAGGCGAAATGTGAAGTAACCGAGTCTCTATTTCGCTTCTCATGAAGCCATCTTCGAAGTCATCGTGTATCACATCGCCAGTCGCAGGCTGTACAGCGACCAGCCCGATGTGGACCTTCTCGTCCGTCCCCCAACCTTTGGCATTGCTTTCTGTGATGCACACGAGATAGCCTGTAGCAGGCGTACCGCTGGAGGGTGCCCCTACTGATGCTTCCAGCCCTTCAACATCGTCGATATATGTGCCCTTGGTGTAAAGATTGGTAAGTTTCCGAACGAAGGGAGCATTTCGATTGTCTCCAGCCGCTTTCAGGGCTGCTGTCTCCAACTGCCGGATAATGCCTACTTTATGCCCTGCACCCACTAACCGCTTGACATGTACATGTAGTCGATGGGTCGGTATGCTAGCCGATGCAAAACGGTCCAGATGGGCCTCGGAAGGGTGCTCGTCGAATCTAAATTTTCCTGGTATGCACACGATACTTAATTCCTTAGCAGCAACTCGTGCGTCTTCTCCCCAGAACTTGAACTTATAGCCAACTTCCATAATCATGAGGGTGTCCAGGTGCTTCCTTTTTATGTCCAGGAATTGCTTCTCCATTGGCGTGAGCTTGCTTGCGCCTTTCTTTGCAGTGACCCCTTTCCTCCCCCTGGAGGCAAGTTTGGACGTTCCGTCCTCCTCAGCCTCTTCGTCATCCTCGGCATCATTCTGATCTTCCGCAGTCTCTTCGCTGATTACCCAATTGCGCCTCTTGATGTCGGCGATACTGTCGGGTCGACCCAGCTTCTTGACAAACTTCTCGTGTAGCGTCTCCTTGCGCCGCTTGGTCTCGTCATCGTCCTCCAAGTTCTCCTCATCTTGAAAGGGGGAGCTGGAAAAGGCATACTTGGATGTGTGCAGTGTTTGTTTGGGCTTTCTGATTTCGTTGGCGGTTGTGGAGATGAGGTGCTTGTCAGAAGTCGTACCTTGGCTGTCCTCGTGTGGTTTTGAAAAGCGTACTCTTTTGCGAGCCGGTAATCCTATGGAGTCGCCGCCGTTATATTCTCCGCCCTCGTCGTAGACGTGCTTAGGCGCCGGAGAGCTCCTTTCCCCCTTTGAATGTATATCAACATCAACGTACGAGTCGACAAAAAGGCTCTCGTCCTTGTCGCCGAGCAAAGTGCCGTTGGAAGCTCTGGAGGTGCTAGGAGTCAAAGCGGGCGGTGGTTTGACCGCAGCGTTCTTAGTGAAGAAGTTGGAAATTGACTGCTGCTTTTTGGCTGAGGCCTGCGAAGAACTCTGTGAGCCCACCATGGCCCCCTCTCTGCTTCGGGCAAAGTATTGGATGCACTGATTGTCAGCGCATGGTGGTCACCAAGAGAGAAACAGCAGAGATTTCCGCGTAAAGTGCTTTCCGCGTTCGCGCTAGTGATCCTAGCGTCTTGGGACCTCTATTACCTCGGTCCTTCGAGACTCCTTCCCGCTCCACACCTCTGCGGGAATTGATATCAATGCATTGAGACCAACACTATCGAGGAAGGTGAAGCGGGGGTGTGAAGAGGAGGGTACGTGGAAATTTGGGAGAGCGTTGCAGTGGAGTGGTGCAAGTGGGGCAGCAAATCCACCAGATCTCTCTCACATTTGCCTTCAGGTAAGACCAATACTCGATTATAGTCATCTGAAGCTGACCAGTACTATCAGCACGTGCACCGTGACCATAAGTGGGTATGGCTACTACAATTCGAAACATTCCAGACGAGCTTCTGGTAGAAATTCTTGGCAAGCTTTATAAGAAAGACCTGAAAATGGCTCGCCTCACTTGCGCTTTATGGAGCACTTCTGGAGCCAAATGGATGTTTCAACGAGTCTACTTTGCACCTCGCAAGGCACCCATGAAGATCTTCTCGGATATAGCCGCAATCCCTGCTTTTGCTGGAAATGTGAAGGAATTGATCTATGATGGGAGGCTCTTCCTGCCCGAACTCGGAAATTTCGACTCCTATTGGACAGCTTTTCGTGCTCGTATGGTAGAGGAATTTGACCTATACGAAGACCATACGAGAAACGCATTGTCTGGTGCTGGCATGTACTTTGCCGATAAAGTGTACCAACGTTCGATATGGAGCATGTGGAAGCTAGGGGCTGGTGACAACATGAAAAGGGATATTTCCGGTGACCGTAAGGATTTTGAGACAAATGTCGCAAACAGTCTCATCCGATATGCACGTCTGCTTGACCAGCAAGAGAGCATTTTCAAGAAAGGCAAAGATTTCAAAGCTCTGTGTAAAGGGCTACGGTCCTTTCGGAACATCAGTACGGTTGACACTCTCGTCGAGTTCGATCATTACTCAGACTATAATATCCGCTCAGGAGATAAACATGACCGGTTTATCGACCCTCACGAATGGTATAGTTTCCGGTCTCAACTTGAGTTCGGCCTCACCGTGCCACCTTCAAAATGGTGCCGCCGGCCCGACTCCCAGGATGGAGGAGAGCAAGACCAAGAGAAGCACATCAAATGGGACGTTCGTGGTGTCCACACCCTTTTCCGAGCTATATCAACACACTGTCCGAGCCTCAAAAAGCTATGTATAGCCTCAATGGACTACAAAGCTCCAATGACTATCTTTCAATTGTCCGATACCGACACCGAGAAGGTTCGCATTATGGCGCGTCGCCTTACAACCCTGCAACTCTACCCGTACGTCACCAAAAGCGCTGATGGGCCCGAATACGCAAAACAGTATCATTGCCTAGAACTTCTTCTGCAGGAAGCTAAGGCATTGCGCATTCTGTCTTCGAGTAGATGGTTTCTTGACGAATAATTAGGAGAATCAGATGACGGGAATGAGGATTTTGTCTCAAGTGAGGGTACCGATTTCGGCATGTTCCTTGGGAAGGTGTGGCCGCATCTCACCAAGCTGATCTTGACGTATGCTTGCGTGAAAGCACGGGATTTGATGTCGATTTCTCGAGTCCACAGGGGAAGCCTCCGCGACCTCAGACTGGCGAGCATGTCTTTGCTCGGTGCAGATCGATGGGAGCATCTGGGGAAGGAGATGGGTCAGATCCTTATGCTACATTACGTCTGGGTGCACGGATTACGCGATGACGTTACTAGGACAAGGAACTCTTCGTGGCCCTTGATGGATCAAGGTCTTACATTTGTTCGCGACATGATGCAGTGGGCGCTTCCGGACCTGCTCGAGATCGAAGAGGACTGTGGCAAGATTACGGGAAGGCTGAAGGCTGACTCGTCATGATCCGTGTCCAATCATACCCAATGGACGAATCGTGAACTCGCTACTACATCTAGCTTGCATTCTGCTGTATCATAGCTGCTGTGACATCTCGAGACGCTGATGCTGCACGATGAAAATGATTGCTTTAGCTACGTACAAATGAGAGAATAAGCTAGGTAGCATAAGCTAAATGTCAAGGACAAAACTGGTTCACGCTGGAAAGACTAGCCAACTCTCTATCTCTCTGTGGGTGATTTGCAAACAAGAGTCTTGTTACCATTGTGATGCTACAACCTAATCCTTCCAACACCCACCAACGAACGGGTTCAACAGCATCGACGAAGAACAGCAAGATCTCAAGAGTTTCCCTCATTCAAACCTCCATGAGCAACAAATCAACAAAGAATTTAGGGCTCAGACTATTAATCTGGGCCATCATTCCGCACGCCTCCGATGAACAGAAGCGGACGCACAGTACCACCCCTCAGCTGGATAACACGCCTCTCCGGTGTCGCTACTTTACGGGGTTTCATCTCTTGCAAGTCCATGACTCATTGGAGACAGCGGTGTATGACCAATGGCGCGCATCTGACTTTTGTTCGGGACGGAAACGGTCCAAACAAGACGTCATGGACAGCTTATATCAAAGCAGGTATTCTGATCTTGCAGCAGTGACCTGGACCCGCCAAACAGTCACCAGAAATTTCATTCTCAAGCTGTAGAAAGAACTTTTCTTCTCTTCGACCAATTGTCGAGCCAGTCCAGAGACCCCTAATTATCGCAGCGGACTTGGTTGCCAGTGCAAAGGGCTACCCTTTTCAACCAATTAATGTCCAAGCTGCGATACCACGACGAGTGGAACGGCGACAGTTGTGTGGCCAGTGAGAACCTCGATAATGGAGCTTCCAAGGTACATCAGATCCTCCGATCGAACGCGAAGCTAATCAGGCATTGAACAAGCGCTGTGAAAGACCGCCTGGAAGCGTCACAGAGCTCGAGATACGCGTACTAGTACACGATGCGGATAAGACTTCCCAGAGAACGGAAACCTGGGTCATTGAATCCTTGGAGGATCAAATAGGTAGAGATTGTGGGAATTATCCACTTGGCTGGCGGCTGCAGTCCGTATTTCTCCATGGTAAAGGAACGATCGGATCGAAAGCGAGACTAAGCTTCACGCACTTCTCCGCTGGATCGAGAAAGAACTTCCAAGTTGCTCACCTTGAGCGCGTTGGACAAGATCCACAGCATTTGTTGGCATACGCTCTTCGCGAACGGTGTCATCGCCGTCCCATTATGGTCAATCCATATGGCTACGCTTGCGGGGTCCATTCATTGCTCCTGCAAATATGAGAGGCGAATTTATCCATCCCGAAAGGAATTTCGACCGCTCTGAAACCAATGGAAAGACTGGAAAGCGAAGGTGGGAGCCAGTGGCATTCCGTCGTGAAAGTCTCTTCATATTCTATCATCGCCAAGGGGGTTTGTGCGCAGACTGACGAACGTAAACTCTCGCTTCTCCAAACCCCCAAAAGGTAGGCACGCTTCTGAACAATAGAGCATAATACCTTGGTTGGTGCAAAGTTTCTTCAATCTTGCTTGGTAAAAGTGAGTGCGACGACATCGAGATAATTGGATCAACTGCGTCCGACAGCAATGGGACACTCGAATTGAGCACATTTTCGGTCGGCCTAGCTCCAGCTGGGATGGGAATCGATCGGGCTATCTTTCATGAATCTGTTTCACAGACATCGAACGGGAATTGAAAAAGCCGCCTCAGGATATCCGTTGTCAAATCCGTATTGCTTTGCGATACGATACTTTCAGTCAAACTGGCTAGCAAGTGCATAAAGCATACCTTCTACTTCACAAAATACATAGCCGAGTCTGTGAACTGCGGAGATATCTAAAATTGGAAGATAATGCTGAGATCGACATGTCCTTCCCCAGTATCACTCAGGAAGAGGTAGAGAAAGCATGTTATGACACACTGATGAGGTATACGGACACCAATGTCGAAAATCTGTTTTGGGTTTTCAGAAGTCTGACGATGAACACTAGCGCGATTCCTCATCGCTGTGGACATGGCTCTGAACAAGTACCTTGCTACTACGGACAATGTCGCCCTCTCGCCTAAAGTTCTGAAATGCATAGATCCGAATTGATAAGCATGGTCCTCGCCGACTTACTTCAACCGTAAGGAAGTTCAGAGAGTGTGGTGGTTGGACGCCGGTTGCAGGAAAACGTGAGATACAGGTACCTCTTTTCAGTCAATGCTTGACAACGCAATCCCTGATATAGGGGCCAATATGCACTTGCAGAAATTGGTCACGCGTTCCTCGTGATTCTGACCACCATTATACGTATGTCCCTTATCTCATTGACGTGCTCAATTCGACAAGGTAAGATAAAGGCAAACGAGGAATACTTTTACAGAGACTGCCACCACGAGAAGACTTTTAAATGTTTTCTCGTCTTCAATTTCTACCACACTAAGACAATTTCTTCAAAGCTGGTTAAGAATCGGAGCAACTCCAGTAGCTAAAACGCAAACGCAAACCCAATGAAGCGTAAACAGGATGTAGAGTTGCATCGGAACAGCTGCACGCGGCGTCGATTTGGGGGACTTCTTTTCATCGGAGAGACCATGCATCAGTAGTCAAGCACAATTCAGAATGAGAGCAACGGTGCATGAAAGAGGAAGGCTCTTGCGAGGATCTCCGGCGTAGCTATTGCTAAGCCAAGGAGGAGCCTGGCTCCCGTGGACAGTGTACTCTTTGCTAGCCACCATGATTGGCGGGCTCTCTGTTCCAGGCGAATAGCTACAGAAGTCGAAGTTGAAGGGGTAGAACCGTTCGTCGAAGGTTGGATATATATTGTTGTAGGGTGGATTGAAATGGATCAAGCAATCATTCCTCTCTGCTTTGTTCTCAGGCGAGGCGAGCGAGAGTTGGCGCGAGTCGCCAAAGCGCCAAGACGGTAAAACGTTCCCCCGATTTGGCATGTTTTACTTCCTCAACCCCTTAGCAGAACCTTCGCAGGCACGCAACATTCTGTCTCTGGTACAGTATACCTCCAACTACTCATGAGCTTCCTGACTCTTGCACAGTCAGAAAACACATGGCTCCTCGGCTTCAAGACCTCCCGGAGGAGTTGCTCGTAGCAGTACTCGGCTACCTGCCAAAAACCGATCTCAAATCCGCTCGCCTCACATGCATTCGATGCGGCTACATCGGAGCTCAAGGGCTCTTCCAACGTGTCTACTTCGCACCACGCAGATCTGCCATCGAGACTTTCCTCAGCATCTCCGCGAATCCTACGTTTGCCAGGACTGTGACAGAGCTCGTCTACGACGGGAGGTTGTTTTTACCAGAGCTTACGGCCTATAAGCCCTACAGGAAAGCTTTTGATGCCCACATATGCTACCAACATGGCGAGGACAACGAGGACATTGCCGATGCAGAACAAGCAGGGGATGGAGACGGATCAACTAGCAATGTCGGCGATGACACAACAACCCGGCGCCAGGCAGTAACGCCTGGGTGTTTGATAAAAGGTCCTGATCTGTATCATGAAACCCTCGCTGACACTTTGGTACGTTACACGCGCCTTGTCGATCAGCAACAGAGCATTCTTGAGGATAAAAAGGACTATGAGGCTCTCTGCACAGGTCTCAAGAATTTGCCAAACATTACTACAGTCATCGCTCTGGACAAATTTGCTGAGTGCTGCGACTGGGTGCCTCTCCGGGCAGACGATCACTCACGGTACCACCAGCGCTCCGAACTTGAAATTGCTGTCCCTATCGCACCATCATCATGGGCTCGAGCCAAGACCATCGAAGATGGTGAGATAAGAAAGTGGGATGTTCGTGGTATCCAGAGTCTCATGCGAGCGGTTTCTAAGCATTGTCAAGAGGTGACAGGACTATATATAGGGTCAGAGCTTTCGAATGCACCCATGTCCATGTTTGAGATGGATCAGGATGATTATGAAGACGCCTGTACAATGGCCCAGCGTCTCACATGCTTAAAGATGGATTTGTACGTGTCCAGAAGTGATTCCGAGGATGAAGGGCAAGAACAGTACGACTGCTTAAACGGGTTTCTGTCAGAAGCCACGGAGCTGCGTTGTCTCGCGACGAGCGGGCGTATCGACAGCAGCTTGTTCAACGGCAAGGTCTGGCCGCATCTCGAGATCCTGATTTGGGGGGATCTCGGCCTTGAGGAATCGCACCTTAAGGCCATCACTCGAGCCCACAAAGGCACCCTCCGCGAGCTCACATTACGCAACGTCTATCTGTTCGGTGCGCAAGGATGGGCTGATGCCGCAAAGGAAATCGGTAAATATTTGAAGCTACGTCGCGTTAGTGTCTTGGGAGTTTGTGACGAGGTGACAAGGGAAGGGACTGCAGATCCCTATCTTGAGGACGACATTAACCTGGCGGTGGCGCGCAGCTTCATGCAATCAATCCCCCGGACCATCCTCTTGGACGAGAACAGCCACACAATCATCGCCTGTCCCGGGGAGGACTCATCGCTGGTCGAAATCGGCCATTCGCAGGGTCCTTGAATCTCTCGCAGAGCGACCTCCCTTCCATCCCTCGTCCCGGCCCCTCAGCGCCTTCCTTCCGCGAGATTTACCCTCGGACGAGATACCCCGCTAGAAAACTCGCACACGTCCCGTACCTCGCCGATGAGAAACCAGACCCTTCTCTCCGCCTTTCGCAATCTCGCGCTCCACTCCCGTCCGTAGACTCGGCGCGACGAGGGTAACCCCAGAACCCGAGCGTCGACCCGAGCCAGCAAATCCCCAATACCGAACCCCCCTGACCAAAACCCTTCGATAGGCCCCGAGTTCAAACGAAATGGCACATCCGTCACTAACGCAACCGTTCGTTCGTTCAGCGCTCTGCATCCATCCATCCATCCATCCATCACGAGGAAAAACCCAGGCGGATCGACCATGAGCCTTCCCTAATCAGCGAGAGCGTCGATAGCTTGCTATGGTACACTCATGCG